CAACCTTAATGATTCTATGATTCTGTGAAATCAAAAATAATAGGGGTAATTACTTTGCCAAACACCCACTAATGGTTCTCATTCAGAGGCTGAATGTCTCCTTGTCTTTTCCCCTTTTCCCTAGATGGATCTCTGCTGTTTCAGCAAGTGCCCATGGTGGAGATCGATGGGATGAAGATGGTGCAGACCAGAGCCATCCTCAGCTACATAGCAGCAAAGTACAACCTCTACGGGAAGGACCTGAAGGAGAGAGCCCTGTACTGTAACAGTACCACCTTTGTTTGTTAGACTACAGTTCATACTACTTCTCTGTGTAACACAAGAATATCCCAGCTCACAGTTAGATTCAGGGTGATGTAGCGCATCTTGACAGTGACTGTGCGTGATGTCTACAACAGTAGTAACCATCTGGGTTATATAGGCATCATGGTGCAAGGGAGCTCATGAAGATCAAAGGTCAATACAGTTATCTGAAGAAGGCAGTCAGGAGCGCAGAAGGCAGTTTGTCTTACTATGCTGCTTTTCGTTTTCTCCTGCAGTTGTCAGCAGCAGGCATTTTCACCACACCAAATTCAGGGAAATGTCATTGATGGAAACAAAAACTTCTCTCTCTAATAACCAGGAATTAGAAGTAATAACTGTTTATTAAAGAACAGGGTTCTTCGGGCACATGGTTTGACCTGAAGTACTTTTAAATGCTTCAAGTTAATTAGCACAGGTAATTCTTTGTTAGAAACTGTACAGACCCACTGTTTAACTCACCATGTCTGATCAGATTTTTAAGACAAGTGTGCATGACACACATGGCAATTTTGTACTCAGGTTCAAAAAAACTTAATACAGAGAAGTATCACTCCTAGTGAAAAATGGAAAGGGCACAGCCTTTTAGATTTTGGTTAGGCGCTTTGCACTTGTCTTTCACCCACGCTCCCCACCCCCTGCCAAAACTGCGCTCCGGGGGGAACTGCTCCAAGCCATGCCAGTAGCTATCGTGCTATTCAGACCTACTCTGTTTGACTTGACCAACTGGATCTATTCCTTTCAGAATTGATATGTACGTGGAAGGAGTAATAGATATGAATGAGTTACTCATGACCCATAGTTTCCAACCAGCGGATAAAAAGGAGCAACATTTTGCTACTATTGTGGACAAGGCCACAAACAGATACTTCCCAGTCTATGAGAAGGTACGTGGCAAAGATGTAGTAGCTAAATTAATATCGTTTTCCTGAAACTCCACCCTGGATCTCCACAAACAATTTGTATTGAGGAGAACAGAGAAGAAAAATTACCCCTTAAATATAAATGCTATGGTTTTGGGGCTGGGACGAGGATGGAGACAGGACACTATAGAGGGGACAGAAGGCACTACAAATCTGGGACATATGCAGAGCTGCAAAAACCCAGGACACAATGAGCTCCCCAAATGTCCACGTTTCAGTCTGCATGTTGTTTCAGGCAAAAGACACTACAGCATCCACTGTTACATGAAGTTCCTCCCCGTGTACCACACATGCTATGCAAAGCATTACAGCTCCTTCTGTAACAAAAGGGAGGATGGATTAGCTGGGTGTCGAGACCATGAGGCACATTCCCAAAATTGAACAGGAAACAGGTGAGAAGCAAGGAGGCTGCACATAATTTGAAAGAGCCCAAGATACTCTTACAATGCCTGGGGCCAAACTTAAGCCTCTTGTAAATTTTATATAGGCGTTTGCAGTGATGGCTGTATCCCATAAAGTTGAGCCTTCAACACAGCAGCACTGATTGCGTGAGCTACAGAAGTGAAGGCAAGAGGGGTACAACTGAGCTGCCAGGAAGAAGAGAAAGGACTGATAAATTATGCCTAGGATGACAGTGTGGTCAGATCATTTGTTTGCACTACTGATGTTCTTCTTGCATTTCCTTCTTTCAAGGATAATATGCAGTGTATGACCTTGCTTTGAAGATAGCATATTAAGTCACATAGGAAAAAAAAAAAATCACTTCTGGTTCTCTGTTTTAGGTTTTGAAAGACCACGGACATGACTTTCTTGTTGGCAACCGGTTTAGCAGAGCAGATGTCCAATTACTTGAAACCCTTTTAATGGCAGAAGAGTGCAAGCCTGATATACTTGCCAAATTTCCTCTCTTGCAGGTAATTGAATGGACAGATTTAATAGACAACAAATCAAAGCAGGACCACTGATTTAAACTGGCTGAGAAATATATGAGAGTGGGAGGCTGAGGAAAAAAGTGAAAGACAAAATCAAAATCAAATATCCTAAGTACTTTTAGTTGGCCTCAGATACTGATGGTTACTGCTGCCTTCTGCCACTATTAGCCACAAAACATAATAAGATGAAGCATATAGATTCTTCTGCAGGATCAACCTCTAATGTTACTTTTAGAGCATGGATAACATCCTAATGTCTGACAGTTACCACGATTCTAAAACACAGTGCTGTTTTGGTTTTGTTTTGTAGAGTTTTAAAGCAAGAATAAGCAATATCCCTACAATAAAGAAATTTCTGCAGCCTGGCAGCCAGAGGAAACCACCACTACAAGAAAAAGATGTACCAAAACTGATGAAAATTTTCCACTGAGCAGCAATCTAAACCCACAGAAACTCTATTTCATTGTCTTTGCGTTTTCTGATAGTGGCAAAGTGAAATTAATGAAAATAGTGAAAAGGTTTTTGATCTCTCTTTCCTTAGCTACAGGACTGGTTTTAGGCTGCTGCAAATACTTCCAAAGCAAATCTACATAAGCATACAAGGAAATGAAATAGTTCACTGCATTAGGGGAAACACTGCACAACACAGGATGTCTTAAATTACTTAAGAGATTACCTCAAATAAAGTCTTACTATTAACACTCTAAACCAATTTGTTCAATGACTTCTTGCTGCTACTTATATACCTAAGGGGTCTTTGGTTCTGTCTTTCTGGCATTCCCAAGAGTTGCTGGAAAATGAAGAGAGCTCAGCCCAAACGATGAGTGATATGCCTGTTCTGGGAAATGCCAGGAAAAGCCTGCAGGTTCTGGTTTGACGGGTATGACAGGTTTGGATTCAGCTTTCCTCTGAACTTAACTTGGACTATGTTGGGAACAGAGGTCCTGCTGCACCTCTGTTGTGTCACTAGACATTTATGTTCTTGAACTGTAGCTTCACCAATATTTCCTTTAATAAAAGGTCTACTGTAACAGCTAAAAGCACTTTGCAGACTCGACTGAGAGACAAATGCCTGTCATCAACTGCAAAGCTGAAAACTTACTGTTTGAGGAAGGAGTCGTCAGACTGGTGTCAGTTGGTAGTGAGACCTTGAAATGTAGGACTTCATATTAACTTATGTTACTTTAGATTAAACTCAGTTAAATATAAGTTGTACATTGTAATCACTTAAATCAAGATTTACTACTGAGAGGCTAGCATGAAAGCTGAACACATAAATATGTATATTATTTAAACACCAAATCAACCACATATGTAAATGCAACAGCCAGTGCCCTAAAAGCAATTATCATAGAATCATAGAATAGTTTGGGTTGGAAAGGACCTTTAAAGGTCATCTAGTCCAACCCCCCTGCAAGAAGCAGGGACATCTTCAACTAGATAAGGTTGCTCAGAGCCTCATCCAACCTGACCTGGAACGTTTCCAGGGATGTGGCATCTACCACCACTCTGGGCAACCTGGGCCAGTGTTTCACCATCCTCCTTGTGAAAAATTTCTACCTTATGTCTAGTCAAAATCTGCTGTCTTTTACTTTAAAACCATTACCCCTGGTCCTATTGCAACAAGCCCTGCTAAAAAGTCTGTCCACAGCTTTCTTACAAGTCCCCTTTAAGTACTGGGAGGATGCATTAAGGTCTCCCTGGAGCCTTCTCTTCTGCAGGCTGAACAACCCCAACTCTCTCAGCCTGCCCTCATAGGAGAGGTGTTCCATCCCTCGGATCATTTTTGTGGCCTCCTCTGGACCTGCTCCAACAGGTCCATGTCTTCCCTGTGCTGAGGGCTCCAGAGATGGACACAGGACTTCAGGTGGGGTCTCACCAGAGCGCAGTAGAGGGACAGAATCATGTCCCTCCACCTGCTTTGGATGCAGCCCAGGATACGGTTGGCCTTCTGGGATGCAACCCAGAACACGGTTGGCCTTCTGGGCTGTGAGCACACATTGCCAGCTCACGTCCAGCTTTTCATCCACCAGTACCCCAAGTCCTTCTGGGCAGGGCTGCTCTCAGTCCTTTCATCCCCCAGCCTGGACTGATCACGTGGGTTGTCCTGACCAAGGTGCAGGACCCTGCACTTGGCTTTGTTGAGCCTCATGAGGTTCACATGGGCCCATTCCTCGAGCTTGTCCAGGTCCCTCTAGATGGCATCCTGTCCCTCAGGCATGTCAATTGCACCACTCAGCTTGGTGTCACCTGCAAACTTGTTGAGGGTGTACTCGATCGCACTATGTCATTGATGAAGATAGTAAAGAGTACTGGTCCCAGTACGGACCCCTGAGGGACACCACTTGTCACCGATCACCTGGATGTTGAGCCGTTGACCACTACCCTCTGGATGTGATCATCCAACCAATTCCTCATGCACCCAACAGTCCGCCCATCAAATACCTCTCGAGAAGAATGTTGTGGGGGACCATGTCAAAGGCCTTACAGAAGTCCAGGTAGATGACGTCTGTAGGAATTAACGCGTTAGTACCGGCAGTTTTAAACTGGGTAAACTCATAGCACCAGAACTCTTGCTGACAGCAATGATTTCTTTATAAGAAATTCCAAGCAGGTTTTAGAACCAAGGAAGGAAAAAACCCAACATTTTTCAGCAGCAGTGCATGTATTTGAGTTGTTGTTCACTGGCAAGAGCCGTTTCCCTTCTGCCATACCAAAGCGTTCAGGCAGCACTTGCAGCTGCTGCCTGCCATCAGAACCTCGAGCTGGTAACCTTGGCCATGGCTGCCGACTCTGCCGTGCAAGCTCCCCTGCATAGCCAGGCGTTTTCGGAGCTTGCGCACAGACCGCGCCAGCAGCGCCAGGGCCCATGGCACACCGGCAGCTCGGCAGCCCTTGCGCAGAGGCTGCGGCCCAGGCCTCTCCCCCAGTCACGCTGTTGCTGTG